TAAGGACAATTATAGGCATACCCATATTTAGACTGCATTCTAGCCCGGGCAATAAAGCAATACCCCCATCCTCTCTCCCTCTTCCTCTTTTCCTCTTTCTCTTTCTTCCTTCTTCCTCTTCTTTATTAAAAAAAAAAAAAAAAAAAATTGAGAACAGACCCTGCCTCAAAAAAAAAAAAAAAAAAAAAAAAAAGGAAGACAATAACAGTATTGAAAGCAGGAGCTCAAAGAGATATTTGTACACTCATGTTCATAGTAGTATTATTAGAAATAGCCAAGAGCTGCAAACAACCCATCACTGACAGATGAATGAATAAAGAAAACGTGGTATGTACATATAATAGAGTATTATTCAGCTCTACAAAGCAAGGAAATTCTGACATATGCTACAACATGGATGAACCTCGTGGACATTATGCTAAGTAGAATATACTGGTCACAAGAGGACAAGTACTGTATGATTGCCCATTTCCTATTGGCTACTCAGTCATTTTTCTTTTACTTTTTTTTTTTTTTTGAGACAGGGTCTTGCTCTGTCACGCAGGCTGGAGTGCATTGGCATAATCTCGGCTCACAGCAGCCTGGACTGGGACCTCGCAGGCTCAAGTGATCCTCACCCCATACCTTGCCAAGTTGTCTATTTGGTCATTTACTTACAGATTTGCATAATTATTTTCTGTTAGGGCCAGGTGTGTTGGCTCAAGCCTGTAATCCCAGCACTTTGGGAGGCTAAGGCAGTAGATCACTAGAGGCCAGGAGCTCAAGACCAGCCTGGCCAACATAGTGAAACCCCGTCTCTACTAAAATTACAAAAAAAGCCAGGTATGTTGGTGCATACCTATAGAACCAGCTACCCGGGAACCCGAGGCAGGCTGTTGTCCAGGCTGAAATGCAGTGGCACAATCTTGGTTCACTGCAATCTCTGGCCCCAGGGTTCAAGCCATTCTCCTGCCTCAGCCTCCTGAGTAGCTGGGACTACAGGCACCTGCCACAATGCCCAGGTAATTTTCGTATTTTTAGTAGAGATGGGGTTTCACCATGTTAGCCAGGCTGGTGTTGAACTCCTGACCTCAGGTGATCCACCCAGCTCGGCCTCCCAGAGTGCTGGGATTACAAGCATGAGCCTCCTCGCCCAGCTAAAAAAGACATTGAAAAAAAAAAAAAAAGCAAACAAACAAACAAAAAACGGCTGGCTGCAGTGGCTCATTCATGTAATCCCAGCACTTTGGGAGGCCGAGTTGGGTGGATCACCTGAGGTCAGGAGTTTGAGATCAGCCTGGCCAACATGGTGACACCCCATATCTACTAAAAATACAAAAATTAGGGGCCGGGCACGGTGGCTCAAGCCTGTAATCCCAGCACTTTGGGAGGCTGAGGCGGGTGGATCACGAGGTCAAGAGATCGAGACCATCCTGGTCAACATGGTGAAACCCCATCTCTACTAAAAATACAAAAAAATTAGCTGGGCATGGCGGCGTGTGCCTGTAATCCCAGCTACTCAGGAGGCCGAGGCAGAATTGCCTGAACCCAGGAGGCGGAGGTTGCGGTGAGCCGAGATCGCGCCATTGCACTCCAGCCTGGGTAACAAGAGCGAAACTCCATCTCAAAAAAAAAAAAAAAAAAAAAAAATTAGCCAGGCATGGTTGCGGGTGCCTGTAACCCAGACACACAGGAGGCTGAGGTAGGAGAATCACTTGAACCATTGCACTCCAGCCTGGGTAACAAGAGCGAGATTCCGTCACAAAAAGAAAAAATAAGGTTTGGTGTAGTGGCTCATGGTGATCCCAGTTCTTTGGGAGGCCAAGGCAGGTGGATCATTTGAGGCTGGGATTTTGAGAACAGCCTGGGCAACGTAATGGGACCCCTTCTCTTTTTTTTTTTTTTTTTTGAGACGGAGTTTCGCTCTTGTTACCCAGGCTGGAGTGCAATGGCGCGATCTCGGCTCACCGCAACCTCTGCCTCCTGGGTTCAGGCAATTCTCCTGCCTCAGCCTCCTGAGTAGCTGGTACTGCAGGCACGTGCCACCACAACCAGCTAATTTTTTATTTCTAGTAGAGATGGGGTTTCACCATGTTGCTCAGGCTGGTCTTGAACTCCTGACCTCAAGTGATCCGCCCACCTTGGCCTCCCAAAGTGCTGGGATTACAGGTGTGACCCAACACACCCAGACCAAGAGTCTGTATATGTTATGAGCCAAGGTTGAGGCCTAGTTGAGAAGAGGGCTTAGGGGAGCCTACCTAGAGTTTGGCCAAGGAGTTTTGTCAGCTGACAGGTGGAAGATTCTGGGCTCCTCCTGCTTGAGGGTGGTGCTTAATAAGCTTTCTTTTCAGTAGTTTGTAGCTGCAAGAACAACAGAATAATAGGTAGTAAGTAAGAAGGGCTCACCTGAAGTCAGAAGAAGAACCATTCCTGGCTGAGTGTGGTGCTGGCACTTTGGGTGGCTGAGGTGGGCAGATCGCTTGAGGTCAGGAATTCCAGACCAGCCTGGCCAACATAGTGAAACCCTGTCTCAATCAAAAATACAAAAATTAGCTAGGTGTGGTGACGCATGCCTGTAATTCCCGCTGCTCTGGAGGTTGATGCATAAGAATCACTTTAACCCAGGAAGCGGAGATTGTAGTGAGCCAAGATCGTGCCACTGCATTCCAGCCTGGGCGATGGAGCAAGATTCCGTCTCAAAACAAACAAAAATAATGAGAACCTGGCGGGGCGCGGTGGCTCACGCCTGTAATCCCAGCACTTTGGGAGGCCGAGGTGGGTGGATCACGAGGTCAAGAGATCGAGACCATCCTGGTCAACATGGTGAAACCCCGTCTCTACTAAAAATACAAAAAAATTAGCTGGGCATGATGGCATGTGCCTGTAATCCCAGCTACTCAGGAGGCTGAGGCAGGAGAATTGCCTGAACCCAGGAGGCAGGGTTGCGGTGAGCCGAGATCACACCATTGCACTCCAGCCTGGGAAACAAGAGCGAAACTCCATCTCAAAAAAAAAAAAAAAAAAAAAGAGAACCTTTCTCAGTATTTGACAAGCCAGGAATCTGCCTCCCCACCTCTCACTCCCCTAGCCTGTCTTAGGTCACAGCCTACCCAGAGGTGAACTGACCTTGTCCTAGTGTTTGATATCACAAATCCTGGCTTGTATCCATAGCTTGGAAGGTAGCACCAGGCATGCCCCTGGTGCCCACCTTGCACAAGAAAAACCTTCCCAGCTTTAGGAGAAATTTCAAGGGCTAAGGTCTGGAACACCTGCAGACAGATGGCTCAAGTGGTATCTTCCTTTAGGGAGTGCACCGATTTATTTATTACTATTGAAGACAGCATTCCTGGCGGAGCATGGTGGCTCACATCTGTAATCCCAGCACTTTGGGACGCTGAGGCAGGTGGTTCTCTTGAGCCCAGAAGTTTGAGACCAGCCTGGGCAACATGGCAAAACCCCGTCTCTGGCAGAGCATGGTGGTTCACGCCTGTAATCCCAGCACTTTGGGAGTCCTAGGCGGGTGGATCATGCGGTCAGGAGTTAGAGACCAGCCTGATCAACATGGTGAAACCCTATCTGTACTAAAAATACAAAAATTAGCCACGCGTGGTGGTGCACACCTGTAACTACAGCTACTCAGGAGGCTGAGGCAGGAGAATCACTTGAACCTAGGAGGTGGGGGTTGCAGTGAGCCGAGATTGTGTCACAGCACTCCAGCCTGGGGGACAGAGCAAGATTCTGTGTCAAACAAACAAACATATAAACCCTATGTCTACACAAATTACAAAAATTAACCAGGTGTGGTGGCACATGCCTGTAGTCAGTTCCAGCTACTCAGAAGGCTGAGGTGGGAGGATCTATTGAGCCTGGGAGGTCGAGGCTGCAGTGAGTTGCGATCTCCTCTCTGCACTCCAGCCTGGGTGACAGTGAGACCTTGAGCAAAAACAAAGAGCATTCCTGTGTTAAACTGGACTAGACTGGGACCCTGCCTTTCCAAGTTTGGCTCTTCAAGGTCATTATAAATTATCCCACAGGAAGGCCATCCTTGAAAGAGAATACCAGTGTGCTAGCAGCAAACACCAACAGCAGAGGTTATCAGATTATCAAAGTAGTAACTGGCAGCCTGAGAGACACCTGGAAACGGGGTAGCAATGCCAATTCTGGGCTCCTGCCCTAGAGCTAAAGAACCAGAAGCTGAGGGTAGGGGGCAGCAATCTGCATTTGAACAACCTCCCCAGGAGGATCCCATACACACCAAAATTCAGAACCACTTCAGCCTCACTTCAGTCTGTTGGAGAGTGAAACTGCGGTCTATCTGGAGTTTCATAAAGGTTTTGAACTAGGTGCGGAAGTTACAGAAAGGATGAGCTAAGAAAAGACATGGAAAATATTTAAAATGCATTCACTTTACCCTCAACAGTAGAAAGCTACGGGCATCTAAGAGAGAGCCTGCAATGGGGAGATGCCCCGGTGGGTGAGGAACCCACAAACACTCTGCCCTCTTTTCCTCTTTTCCCAGGTGGGGAACATGAAGTCCAGCGAGGCCAAACCCCCGCCCACACCGCTGATGGGGTCTTTCTCCCCTAGGGCCAGGGCGCAGCGGCCCCACCGCAGCTCCGGCTTGCAGAGACCAGGCGTCAATCCAAGCTGGCCTCAGGTCGCGGCTCTTCGAGAGCGCGAGTGGGAACAGAGCCCTCCGGCTGGGCTTATCCGCAGCTGGCCACAGCAGCATCTGAGAGGCGTCCTAGGGTAGTATGCACCTCCCTGGGGACCCAGGTATCCGACCCGGTTCGGGGCGGTCTGCTCCAGCCGCCGGAGTCCTGCCTTCTAAGAATGAAGATTTCCCATCCCCCTCCCTCTCCCCTCCTGAGCGGCAGACCCCTTGAGCCCCAGCGAAACTACAAAGCCCACAATCCCCGGGGTGCGCGCGCTATCTTCTGGGAGATGTAGTCCTGGACGCGGGGCACCCCCAGCGGCCCAGCGCCAGCTGGACTTCATATTCCAGCATGCCCGCGCGCGTGCGGGGGTCGGAGGGAGGGAGAGACGGGGAGGATGTGAACAGGGTGGGGGCAGACGCCCCTGTCCCCCACCCTTCCCTTCGAGCCGGGCAGGGGTGGGGGGAGGGGCCGGGCTGAAGCGGCGGCAGCAGCGGCGGCGGCGGCGGCGCTCCGGAGGGCTGGGTCGGGCAAGGGCGGGACTAGCCCACGGCCAGCGGACAAGAGAGCCGCGAGCTAACGGGTCTGGACGCCGGCTGCGACGGCTTTCTGCGCGGGCGGTGGCGGCGGCAGGAGCAGCGAGCATGGCCCGCACGGCGCCGGGCGCTGACTGAGGTGCGCGGGCGGGATGAGGGCGGGCGGGATGCCGAGCGCCCCGGGCCCCTGGCTGCCCAGATCTCCCTTGCGCGGGCAGCTGGCGCGGCCCAGCGGCCCAAACCGGCCGGGTCCCGCCCCGCAACTTCCCCCGGACAGGGGCGCAGGGTTCCCTCGCGTGGGCGGGGGTCCGCGCGCGTTGGCCTCAATCCGGATCCCCGCCTTCTGGTCTGCACGTCCAGCGGTTTCCAGCCTCCCGGAGTTCCCGCTCCGCTTCTTTGCCGGCAGCTCCTGGCCCCCAGCCCCAGCCCTCAGAAGAGCTCCGTGCCCCAGTCCCGAGTTCAGTCCACTCCCTAGTTCGTACCCCAACCGCTGGCGTTGCCAGCTTCTGCTCCACCTGGGCCTCTCTTGGCCGGAGCATGTCTGCCCCATCAGCACCTCTCTCCTCTCTCCCCTGTGATCATTCCCTTACCGGGCACTGCCCCCTTAGCCACCCTCGTGGCCCAGTTCTCATAGCTCGACCTTCCTACTTTGGAGAAACTGAGGCACGGCGTAAGCCAGAAACTTGGCCAATGCGCCAGTCCCGTAGAGGCTGGCCTGAACCAGGCTGGCCTTAGGGAGAGAACTCTCCTCTCTCCTCTTCCTTCTCTGCCTTGGAATGGAAGTCATTTCTTCCCCCCAGTCATTCCCCTGTGCCTGGACCAAACTTCCACCCCCTGCCACAGCTCTGGGCTGAGCTCACTTGAGTCTCCGCTTAGCTTCCTGCCACTCCTGTTGCCCTTCCCTCCTTCTCATAGCCCACTCCTGGCCCTCTCTGCCTGTAGAGGAGTCACCACCCATTGCTTGCTTGCTCAAGTTAGCCTTTTGATTTCTCTTTTGCCAACTGCATCCATCTCTCGTCTCCCATCTTGCCTCTTGTTTAACTGCTGCCTAAAGGAGCAGAGAGGACTGAGTCAAAGGTGGTGTTGGGGAAATGGGCTTGAGAGACGCTGGGGGCAGACAGGGGCCTGCGGCCTCTTTTCAGTCAAAGCCTCTGACGGGGGTACAGGGCACTCTGGAGCCTCTGGCCAATAACTTACACTCCCGCCTTGTCTTTGGGACGATGTCCGGAAGCTGGTTGGCCACCCCTTCCTCTTACCGTGCCTGGTGGGCTCTGAAGCCCCTCTGAGGTGGAACGTATCACTGGCCTTTAGGGAGATGGTGGCGTAAGGGGAGTCTGGGAGACCACACCCCCAAGCATATTCTTGCTTCTGCTGCTAACTTTGGAGGGGTTGCCCTTTCAGGGAGGGATGCCTGCTGGTTGCCCTGATCTCTGGAGGAAGGCACAGAGTCTGTGGGCGGTGATCTCAAGTTTAGTCGTGGTGCTCAAGATTTAGAGGGAACGAGGGCTCAGAGAGGTGGCACAGACTTGCCTGTATAATTTAGTTTTTTGTTTTGTTGTCTTCAGATTTTTTTTTTGTGGGGGTGGGGGGGGTGGTCATCCATTCAACCCCAATCTCCAGTTTCCCAGTGGGATGGGCGGAGGAAGGGAGGGATGGGAGGCTCCAGGAGTTCTGTGGGGTCCTGAAGGAACAATCTTGATCTGAACCAGATGGTTCACTGCTTCAGCAACCCCCTCCTAGCCCTCCCCCTTGGCTGTGAATAGGATGCTTTTAACCTTGTAACTTGAGAATGGAGGAAGGGAGGCCAGGGGCCAACTGTCTGTGCGCATGTTTATGTCTGCCTCTGCGCACTTGCTTGCAAGCTTGCCAGGGGCCTGTTGGAGTGACCCTTCCTGGAGTGCACTGTTGTGATGTGCTGTGGCATGCTGACGGCTCCTGGGAACTTTCAGAGTGCAAATCCCAGATAAAATCAAGCTTCTAAGAACCACTGGCTGTGGCCTCCGGGGAGCATTTCTACTCCAGCCAAGTCTTAGGGTAAGGACCACTTTATTATTATTATTTTTTGAGACAGAGTCTCCCTCTGTCGCCAGGCGCCAGGTTGGAGTGCAGTGGCATGATCTTGGCTCACTGCAACCTCTGCCTCCTGGGTTCAAACAATTCTCCTGCCTCAGCTTCCCGAGTAGCTGGGACTACATACAGGCTCACGCCACCATGCCCAGCTAATTTTTGTATTTTTAGTAGGGTCGAGGTTTCACCATGTTGGCCAGGATGTCTCGATCTCTTGACCTCGTGATCCTCCCGCCTCAGCCTCCCAAAGTGCTGGGATTACAGGCATGAGCCACCGTGCCCGGCCTAGGATCACTCTTCTTGAGAGGGCACCTAGGATTAAGGAGTCTGCAGTACCAGGATTGGGGATTCTGGGAGGCTAGGCAGCTTGGCTTTTCCATCTCTTCATGGCAAAAGAAGACCTGAGGGGTAGGGTCTGGGGAGAGGGGTCAGAAACGAATTCCTTTCCGTTGTTTTATACCACTTCCTGCCTTATTTTGATGGTATTTGTGTACTTGATTTTGGCTCTCATTAGACTGTGGATGTTTTTCAAATGTGTCCTCATTTTCTGAAATACCACCACCTGGCTCGGTCCTTGTCACATAGTGTGTGTTCAGTAAATGAGTTACGGCAGAAGGTCTCATGGTTACAGGTTTAGGGAAGGGTCCTTCACACTTGACTGAGAGTCAGAGTCTCCTGGAGAGCTGGTTAAGGCACAGATTGCTGGGCACCATGCCAGTCTTCTGGTTTACTCTGGGTGGAGCCTATAATTTGCATCTCTCTCCAGCTCCCTGGAGCTAATACTTTGAGAACCACTAGTTTGGGGTCATCACAGTTGCTTGAGAAATTAATCCAGGCAGATGTAAAGTCTTTTTTTTTTTTTTTTTAAGTAGAGGCAGGTGTGTCCATATTGGCCAGGCTGGTCTTGTCTTGAACTCCTGACCTCAGGTGCTCCACTCGCCTCAGTCTCCCAAAGTGCTGGGACTACTGGCGTGAGCCACCGTGCCCAGCTAGACGTAAAGTCTTAAGAGAGACCTTCTTTCACTTTACTTTCCTACCAGGCTGTTTTGGCAGCTGCACTGGTTTGGCCTTTCTTTCATTCTGATGCTGCCCAGGGTTGGCAATGATTGGGGGGACACTGCCCCACGGTTATTTGAAGAAAGGCTTCCTTTTTGAAGGAAGACTCCACAACCAAGCAGGAAATTTAGGAGCCATGGCTCTGGAAAAAGGTGGCTGTGTGACCATAGTGAAGCAAATTGCTGAGCCCGGCCCTCGTCTGCCCTGTGCCTGTTTCCCCAACCAAGCAAGTTGGGATGCCTGCCAAGTGGAGTCCTGCCATGGCTGCACACTGGACGGGATGCCTGGGAGTCTTTGAAATTCAGAAAAGCAGGAGGCATCACTTACATTGTGCTTTGCAAAGCATTTTCCAGCTGTTGTTTTACAGGTCAGTGGAACATTTATAAGGCAGATATGGACCCGGGTAGGGTTACTGAGGAACGATACACTGTGGGTCACATGGTGACCCTGGGACTCCTGATTATAACACCAGCTGAGTGGCTGCTAAACCAGTTGCTGCTAATAGCTTGAATAATAATGGCTGCTGTTCATTGAGGGCTTGCTGCAAGCTGGGCACCATCCTAGGTGCTCTCAGGTGTTAGTGAATCCTCACAGGTTGGCGTTGTTGCTGAGGCTTCCTAGATAAAGAACTGAGACAGAATTTAGGAGACTTGTCCAAACAGATAGCAGGAAGATCTGGGATTGAAACACGTCTTTCGGATGCACACCCCTTGCTCTTAGTTCCTGCTCCTTGTCGTGCTCAGCAAACCTTAATTGTCTGCCCCCAAAAGTCTGTGGGCATTTTTTTTTTTTTTTGAGACAGAGTCTAGCTCTGTCCTCAGGCTGGAATGCCGTGGCACGATCTCAGCTCACCACAACCTCCGCCTCCTGGGTTCAAGCAGTTCTCTTGCCTCAGCCTCCCGAGTAGCTGGGATTACAGGTGCGCACCACCATGACCGCTAATTTTTGTATTTTTAGTAGAGATGGGGTTTCACCTTGTTGGCCAGGATGGTCTCGATCTTGATCTTGTGATCTACCTGCCTGGCCTCCCAAAGTGCTGGGATTACAGGCGTGAGCCACCGTGCCCAGCCAAGTCTGAGTTTTTTTGAGCCGAGAACTCTGCTGAGTGTTGTGGAGGAAACAGTAATGTCCAAGTTGCTGTCCCCTGGGAGGGGATGAGACAAGTCTACCAATGTATCCACAGCAGTTGTGTGGCCAGTGAAAGGAGGTCGAAGTCGTCCCCATAGAGGGCTCAGAAAAGGCATTTGGGATGGTCCTCTAAGGGAAGGTTTCCAAGCAGTGCCTGTGGGCTGGAGGGATGTGCAGGCCAACAGGTACAAAGAAAGGCTGTCACAGGGCACACTTAGGGAGTTGTCCCTTTGTCTAGAGCATAGGGGATTTATTTAGAAAGTAGTAAGGAATCCTGTTTGGTTGCAAGCAGCAATTGGCTGACTTTGGCAGGAAAACAATTCTCGGAAAGCTGTGGGAACTATAAAATCAGAGCCATGACTCAGGACCCAGGTCCCCTCCAGGGTCTTGGAGTGGGTGCAGCAGGGACCAAAGGCAGTCTCTTCGGGGCACCACTGTTGGCAGGATACATCTGCTCCAGCTGTGCTGAGTCATTTTGTCATCATTGCTTGGGATTCATATCTGAGGGAGGAAATATCTGGTTGGCCCAGGCTGGGCCCTGTTCCCTTGTTCCCTTCCTTGGCCAGGGAAGGGCTGGTGGCATGCTGGGCAGTTCCCTTGCAACCCCTAGACTGCATCCAAAAGCAAGCATCTCCAGAAGGAGAGGAAATGACACTGCAGAAAATCAGCGCAGACAGGTGTTGGATGACGACTTGAACTGACAGGTGGCAGAGTCGGGGGCTTTAGTCTGACTAGTTTCTGAGGGCTAACTGGCAGCAGGGTATGGCTGGGTCATAAGGGGACAGGGAAAGGAGAGAGGGAGGACATAGGCAACTAGATAGAGTCCAAATAAGATGTCACGAAGGCTGGCACTTGGCAGTAGAAGTGGAAAAGAGGGGACTGAGTCTA